TGAGTGTGCTCACGTGTGTTCATCAACTGATGAAGAAAATATTATTTCTATTGAGGAAATATCACGAAAAGCTTTTAAAATAGGAGATTATTTTTTATCAATATTACATACAAATTGATTTATAAGGTGAGTTATGACACGTAACTTCACACAATCTTGTGTGAGTGTGTGTGTGTGTTTTGTGTGAATATCCCAACACAATTTTTATAACTTGTAATTTTTAATTTATTCAACTAATTTTGTAATTAAGTTTTATGGACAGTTTTTACATTATTTTATTTTTCGTTTTATTTTGTACTTTAATATATTTTATTATTGCTTAATACAATACATATTTAAAACATTATTTATAAACTTTATTCTCTCCAGCATTTATTATCTATACATTGTTTATGTCTTCTTCTATTCGGAAAATTCTTTATTTCTTATGTTTAAATATTTAAAACAATATTTTTGTTGTTTCAGTATGCACTGGTACAATTCGAACATAGAGGCCCGAAGGAATAAAAAACATAAGAACTGCAATACTTAGAGGAATACCAGTAGAAGATGATTGGATTAAATATAAGTGCGATATTATTAGTAAGCATAGTAAGTTATACAATTAGACAGATTAATATGTAATAAGTACTATTGCTAACGAAAATTTATAAAAATTTATTAAAACATTCCTTGTTTGAATTAATTTTACTTTTTGCAGTATATTGGATTCATTCTTATTTTTTAAGAAACAATATGCATGAATCAAATTTAAAAATGAACAAATATATCTGAAGATTGTTGAAATTTATTTGAGTTTTTTTTCTAATATTTGTATAAATGGAAATTTGTTTAGTATTTAATTGATGTCGTAATGATTACTTCTTATTTATAGTCATCTATGAGTTAGCCTTACAGGCTGAAAAGACTGCTGTTGCCTCGTCAGAATCTGAAAATGAACGACAATTAGGAAAAAGAAAAGTTAAACATAGTAAATATAAGCACGATTATGTTGATTATGTTGGCCCTCCAAGATTAGTCTCCTCATGCAAGAAATCAAGTGACACAAGTACTACAATCGCAGGTAAACTTATTAATTTGCAAGTATTACATATATATTTATATATAGATTATATGTTTATATATATGATTATATATTATATATATGTATGTGATTAATATTACATATATGGACATTCTGCAATAATATGTAGAATTGTATTTATAAAGTATTTTGATTACTTGTATCTTTCATTATTTATTTATGTTTATATTGGTTGCCTAAATGCACGTATATTTTTCAAGTTTTCATTTAATTGAAATAAATATTAATTTAGAATATGTATTAATAATAAATAATCTTATACGTAATACGTAATATAAAACTTAATAAGAAAACGATAAGTTCCTAATTCTAAGTATTTATTATATATAACATTTATATATACAGGGTGTTACAGAGCGACCGTATCAGGCGTTAATTTGGAAAAATATGCATTTTTGTGAAAAATGTTTCAGATAAAAGTTGTTTGGTTTCGAGGGTGACATAAGATGGTGTCATTAATTTGACCTTAAATAGTTGCTTGAAGGTTACGTGAAGGTCACCTTCAATGTTTTAAACGGAACCCCCCATTGTTTATTATACTGTCTTATTGTACTAATTAATATGAACAAATTTTGTCCGAAACATTTTTTGATTTGCCTAATACTTTTTGAGATATTCAAGAGAAAATTTACAACTTTTTCAATGTTTAGTTTATGATACCTCAATAACTGTTTGTCGGAGGGAAAAGTAATACAGGACTTTTTGACTTGATTTGGTCTCAGGAATATGCTGTTACAATAGTGTTCCAATTGTTGAAAATTTTTGTGTATGTAAATTAGTTGACTAATTTGTGTATAGTTGTGTATACTAATTTATGTATTGTAACACACACAAAATTTACATACACAAAAATTTTTAACAATTGGAACACGATTGTAACAGCATTTCCTGAGACCAAATCAAGTTAAAAATTCCTGTACTACTTTTCCCTCCGACAAATAGTTATCGAGATATCATAAGCTAAACATTGTAAAAGTTATAAATGTTCTCTTGAATATCTCAAAAAGTATTAGACAAATCAAAAAATGTTTCGGACAAAAGTTGTTCATATTAAAATAAATATAAGAATAAGGCTCTCGTGAGTAAATAAAAAAATTAAATAAGGCAATGTGAGCCAAACGCAGGTTGTTGTGCGTAAATATCTTTAGTTAAATTAGTGTGATTAAGATACAGTGATAACGTACGTTTCGGTCCCTTTTTTGGACCATCATCAGCGTAAAATATCGTGTGGAAGTATAATTAACCTATCATATTATAAAGAGAAAGAATACGCACTGATAATTGACGTAGTCATGGATCATAACGGAGACTAACTAATGTTGTCGGAAAACGGTAAAAGCTCTAGCGTGGTCATTAGACTTGATAAAACTACAAGAAAACGGTACAACTTTAGCGCAGTCATGATATAACAAACGTACAATTCGATAATATTATAGGTAACGGTATAACTTGATATGGTTCAAATTAATTACATTGTAAAATAACCTTAAAAACCTCAATTAACTATGGATCGTGTTGCGGTTGGATAAATTGCGTTACTAAATCGGGTGTGCTTTCTTGTGTGTCGTCTCTCCCCAAATAGTGCCCCGTGACTCCCCGTTTTCCAGCTTAAATGATATCCCGGATCAAGAGGGGTGCCACAGTACAGATCCAGTGAAGAGGAACACAGAATGAAGCGTTGGACGATGTTAGAACGTCGGAATAGAACTTATGCGAACGGTGGCCACCGATTAGTTAGTCTCCGTTATGATCCATGACTACGTCAATTATCAGTGCGCATTCTTTCTCTTTATAATATGATAGGTTAATTATACTTCCACACGATATTTTACGGTGATGATGGTCCAAAAAAGGGACCGAAACGTACGTTATCACTGTATCTTAATCACACTAATTTAAGTAAAGATATTTACGCACAACAACGCGTTTGGCTCACATTGCCTTATTTAATTTTTTGATTTGTTCATATTAGTCAGTAGAATAAGATAGTATAATAAACAATGGGGAGTTTAAAAATTGAAGGTGACCTTCACGTGACCTTCAAGCAACTATTCAAGGTCAAATTAATGACACCATCTTATGTCACCCTCCAAACCAAACAACTTTTGTCTGAAACATTTTTCACGAAAATGCATATTTTTCCAAATTAACGCCTGATACGGTCGCTGTGTAACACCCTGTATATGTATACATATATGTATACACATATAGTATGTATATACATACTAACACATACGCGTGCGCGTGCATAAAGAGCATTTTTATAGAAATGTCATAAAATTATTATTAAACTATAAGAAATATGAGTAAAATGTATAAATACATGTTTTTATACATAGAATCACGTTATATGAAAAAAATTTTTTGTTGGGTCCTTTTTTAAACATACATCCAGATTACTTGAGTTTTAAAATAAAATATTAGATTTTTGTTTTTTTTCATGAAATAACACAGTTGTAAACGCGCGATAAAAATTCCACCATGCTCGTAATGTGTTCGTAAGACATACTCTGTATAATACATATACATATCTAAAGATTTTTTAATCTCTGTATAATACATATACTTACTCTGACAGAGTATAGTTTTTTACTTTGATTTATTTTCTAACGAAATTTTTAACTCCGGTAAAAAAGTTGTCATACAAAAACATCTATAAATACATAGGATTATATAGAATTATATGTCAAATGTGTTCATACATATTTTTATATTGTATAATTTTATAGATTTATACATGCTTTTATATGAACAATGTTTTACAGTGAAATACATATGTTTTGAATATATTTCGTTTTATACAATAATTTTATTCAATTTTTAGAAACATTGGAACAGTTCGATAACCAAAATCCCGAATTGGATCATGCAACACAAAACGATGGTAAAATTATTTTAATAAAAATTATTTTAATAAAATTCAAAATTACAAAAATTATTTTTAAAAATAATAAAATTTATTAATTTTTTTCAATCTTGCAGAAAATGACATTTTAACGGATATTAACAACGCGCCTGTAATAATTGCGGAAAGGACAGATGATTTCATGGACGAATTTAAACAAACAATGAAAGATATTAAGTCTGAACTAGAAAGTATGAAAAACAAACAGGAACAATCACTTTCACAGATTCAAGAAACTGTAAATATGATCCTGGCTAAAATGAATTATGAGCAATATCGCAGAGAAGACCCAATGAAGGATGATAAGATTAGAAAATACCTTCCATTAACTTCGATTGAAAATTTTCTAGAGTTAGAAGATGTACTGAAAATTGATGATGAAGCTTTAACACAAGTAGTAAGTAAATTTACTAGACATCACAGAAATTCGCTTTCCGCACGTTATTCAGCTTTTTATTTTATTTATTATTACAGTATTAACTCCTTGATACATACAACTGTCAAAATATGCAATGACATATCTACAGATGTCGCTCATATCTACAGACTAATTATTTATATATTTTTCTTTTCCCGATAAAAGAAAAATATATTTATATCTTAAACAAACAAATCAATGTTCCATTATATTTTAAAGATTTCTTAAATTATTTTTTACAATTAGATTAATATTTTTAATTACTATAATAGTATAACACAAATTTTTTTACAGGTTGATAAAGTATTACTGATTGGAGGAAAAAATGAGAAAGACTTTATTCGACGAACCTTAAGTGCAATGTTTTCTGATAATTTAGCTGTAATGTGTTCGTGGACAGGGCAGAAAGATAACTTCAAAGTTGGGGATACATATATTATAATAGGTATCAAAAGTAAGTTCTTTTACATATATGTACACGTATATATAATTAATATATTTGATTTTAAGATTTAGAAAAAGTATACATATCATAATTAATGTATGTATGTTGCGCATGTACGTAACATTAATTGTGATGTGTATATGTAATTCTCCCAGACAGCACACAAACGTTTTAAAGACGTATTAAAAACGTATACATTGGACGTTACGTACGTATGTAAGACGTCCATTTTAGATCCATGAACATCTTTAGGACGTTTTAAAAACGTTCCAATGTTACTTTTATGGATGTCCTAAAAACGTTCGATTTAAGGCCCCGCCGGACCAAAACTGGACGTTTTTAGGACGTGAAAAGGATGTTTATTAATAAATACCCTGATGGAAAAA